GAAGGAATTTGTTGGAATTTCTTGGAATTTAAAGGAATGGGAAGGAATCTGTAGGAATCTGAAATAATCTGACACTATCTGAAACAATCTAAAAAAATCTGAAATAATCTGGAGGAATCTGCGTAAATCTGAAGGAATCTGGGAAACTCTGAAAGAATCTGAAAGAATCTGAGGAATTCTGAAGAAATTCGAAATAACTTAGAGGGATTTTTTTGAATTTTAATGTAATTTAAAATAATTTGAAGGAATATGAAAAAATCTGAAAGAATCTGAAATAATCTAAAAGAATCTGAAAAAAATTGTAGGAATTTGAAAAAATCTGAAAGAATCAGAAAAAATACGGAAGAATCTGGGAGAATTTAAAATGATCTGAAAGGACCTGGAAAATCTGAAAGAACTAAAGACATGTGAAGGAATCTGAGAATCTGAAGTAATCTGAAAGAATTAGTAGTAATCTGAAGGAATCTAAAGGAATTTGAAAGACTCTGAAGAAATCTGAAACAATCTGAGACAATCTGAAGGAATGTGAAAAAATCTAAAAAAATCTTAAAAAATTCGAAAGAATCTGAAAGAATCCGAAAGAACCAGAAACATTTCGAAAGAATAAGAATGAATCCGAAAGTATTTGTAGGAATTTGAAAAAATCCGAAGAAGTTTGAATGAATCTGAAGGAATTCGAAAAAATTAGAAGGATTCCGAAGACATCCGAAAAAATACGACGTAATCTGAACGGATCTGGAAGGATCTGGAAAGATTTAAAAGAATTTGAAAGAAGCTTAAAAAAAACTAATAAAGTCTGAGAGAATCCATAGAATCTGAGAAAACGCAAAGAATCCATAAGAATTTGAAAGAATCTTAAGTAACCTGAAACAATTTGAAGGAATTTGTTGGAATTTCTTGGAATTTAAAGGAATCTGAAAAAATTGGACAGAGTGTGAAAGAATGTGACGGAATCTAAAGGAACGGGAAGGAATCTGTAGGAATCTGAAACAATCTGACACTATCTGAAACAATCTAAAAAAATCTGAAAGAATCTGGAGGAATCTGCGTAAATCTGAAGGAATTTGGGAGACTCTGAAAGAATCTGAAAGAATCTGAGGGAATCTGAAGAAATTTGAAATAACTTAGAGGAATTTTAAGGATTTTAATGTAATTTGAAATAATCTGAAAGAATATGAAAAAATCTGAAAGAATCTGAAATAATCTAAAAGAATCTGAAAAAAATTGTAGGAATTTGAAAAAATCTGAAAGAATCAGAAAAAATACGGAAAAATCTGGGAGAATTTGAAATGATCTGAAAGGACCTGGAAAATCTGAAGGAACTAAAGACATATGAAGGAATCTGAGAATCTGAAGCAATCTGAAAGAATTAGTAGTAATCTGAAGGAATCTAAAAGAATTTGAAAGACTCTGAAGAAATCTGAAACAATCTGAGACAATCTGAAGGAATGAGAAAAAATCTAAAAAAATCTTAAAAAATTCGAAAGAATCCGAAAGAACCAGAAACATTTCGAAAGACTAAGAATGAATCCGAAAGAATTTGTAGGAATTTGAAAGAATCCGAAGAAGTTTGAAAGAATCTGAAGGAATTCGAAAAAATTAGAAGGATTCCGAAGACATCCGAAAAAATACGATGTAATCTGAACGGATCTGGAATAAGGATCTGGAAAGATTTAAAAGAATTTGAAAGAAGCTTAAAAAAAACTAATAAAGTCTGAGAGAATCCATAGAATCTGAGAAAACGCAAGGAATCCAAAAGAATTTGAAAGAATCTTAAGTAACCTGAAACAATTTGAAGGAATTTGTTGGAATTTCTTGGAATTTAAAGGAATGGGAAGGAATCTGTAGGAATCTGAAACAATCTGACACTATCTGAAACAATCTAAAAAAATCTGAAAGAATCTGGAGGAATCTGCGTAAATCTGAAGGAATCTGGGAGACTCTGAAAGAATCTGAAAGAATCTGAGGGAATCTGAAGAAATTTGAAATAACTTAGAGGAATTTTTTTGAATTTTAATGTAATTTGAAATAATCTGAAGCAATATGAAAAAATCTGAAAGAATCTGAAATAATCTAAAAGAATCTGAAAAAAATTGTAAGAATTTGAAAAAATCTGAAAGAATCAGAAAAAATACGGAAGAATCTGGGAGAATTTGAAATGATCTGAAAGGACCCGGAAAATCTGAAGGAACTAAAGACATATGAAGGAATCTGAGAATCTGAAGAAATCTGAAACAATCTGAGACAATCTGAAGGAATGAGAAAGAATCTAAAAAAATCTTAAAAAATTCGAAAGAATCCGAAAGAACCAGAAACATTTCGAAAGACTAAGAATGAATCCGAAAGAATTTGTAGGAATTTGAAAGAATCCGAAGAAGTTTGAAAGAATCTGAAGGAATTCGAAAAAATTAGAAGGATTCCGAAGACATCCGAAAAAATACGATGTAATCTGAACGGATCTGGAAGGATCTGGAAAGATTTAAAAGAATTTGAAAGAAGCTTAAAAAAAACTAATAAAGTCTGAGAGAATCCATAGAATCTGAGAAAACGCAAGGAATCCAAAAGAATTTGAAAGAATCTTAAGTAACCTGAAACAATTTGAAGGAATTTGGAAGGAATTTGTTGGAATTTCTAGGAATTTAAAGGAATCTGAAAAAATTGGACAGAATATGAAAGAATCTGACGGAATCTAAAGGAATTTGAAGGAATCTGAAACATTCAGAGACATTTGAAAGTATCTGAAGGAATCTGAATAATATGAGGGAATCTGAAAGGACCTGAAAGAATGTGAAGAAATCTGAAGAAATACGGTGGAATCTGAACGGATCTGGAAGGATCTGAAACAATTTGAAAGAATTTGGACGGAATATGGAAAGAATTTGGAAGGAATTTGTTGGAATTTGAAGGAGTCCGAAAAAATTGGACAGAATATGAAAGAATCTGACGAAATCTAAGGGAATTTGAAGGAATCTGAAATAATCTGAGAATATGAAATAACTTGAAAAAATCTAAAAGAATCTGATGAAATCTGAAGAAATACGATGGAATCTGAACGGATCTGTAAGGATCTGGAAAGATCTGGAAAAATCTGAAAGAATTTGAAAAAATCTCATAGAATCTGAGAGAATTAGATAGAGCCTGAGGGAATGTGAGAGAATTCAAAAATTCTGAGAGAACGTGAAACAACCTGAAAAATCTTAAGTAACCTGAAACAATTTGAAGGAATCTGGACGAAATTTGAAAAGAATTTAGAAGGAATTTGTTAGAATTTGAAAGAATCTGAAAAAATTGGACAGAATGTGAAAGAATCTGACGGAATCTAAAGGTATGAGAAGGAATCTGTAGGAATCTGAAACAATCTAAAAAAATCTAAAAGAATCTGAAAGAACCCGAAGGAAATCTAAATCGAAGGAATCCGATAGAATCCGAAAGAATAAGAACGAATCTGAAAAATCTGCAGGAAACTGAAAGAATCCGTAGGAGTTTGCAGGAATCTGAAGGAATCCGAAACAATCAGAAAAAATCCGAAGATATCCGAAGAAATACGATGGAATCTGAACGGATCTGAAAGGATATGAAAAAACTTGAATAAAGCTGAAAGAATGTGAAATAATCTGATAGAATCTGAGAGAATTTGATAGTTTTAAAGATCTGAGAGAACATGTAAGAATCCAATAGAATCTGAAACAGTGTTAAGTAAGCTGACACAATTTGAAGGAATTTGTTGGAATATGACAAAATGGACAGAAGGTGAAATAATCCGGAGGAATCTAAAGGAATTTGAAAGGATCTGAAGGAATCTGAGACATTTGAAAGAATCTGAAGGAATCTGAAAAAATATGAGGAAATCTAAAAGAACCTGAAGAAATCTGAAGAAATCTGAAGAAATACGATGAAATCTGAACGGATCTGGAAGGATCTGGAAGAATCTAAAAGAATTTGAAAGAAGATGAGAAAATTTCAAGTAACCTGAAACAATTTGGACCGAATTTGGAAAGAATTTGGAAGGAATTTGTTGTAATTTGAAGGAATCAGAAAAAATTGGACAGAATATGAAAGAATCTGACGGAATCTAAAGGAATGAGAAGGAATCTGTTGGAATCTGAAACAATCGGAGACTATCTGAAACAATAAAAAAAAATCTGAAATAATCTGAAGGAATCTGCGTAAATCTGAAAGAATCTGAGAGAACTTGAGGGAATATGAAACAATCCTAAAGAATCTGAAAAAGTCTAAAGGAATCTGAAAAAAATTTGAAAGAATCTGAAGGTATATGTTGGAATCTAATGGAATCTTGTGGAGTATGAAGGAAACTAAAGGAGTCTTAAAAAATCCGAGAGAATCCGAAATAATCTGAAAATATCTGAAAGCATTTTTGACAATCTGAAAGAATCTGCATGAATCTGAAGGAATCTGAAGAAATTTGAGATAATTTGGAGGAATTTTAAGGATTTTAATGTAATCTGAAAAAATACGGAAGAATTTGGGAGAATTTAAAATGATCTGAAAGGATCTGGAAAATCTGAAGGAACTAAAGACATATGAAGGAATCAGAAATAATCTGAGGGAGAAAAAAACGATTTGTTAGTTGGATGATCCAAATATCTTCTCTTTCTGGTTTTTATCATTCGATTTGTTATAGTTTTCTGAGTAGTAGAGTATATTTTCAACTAGGGATCTATCTCATTTTCGGGAGATTTCAATATTAAAAAAAAATTAAATCAATAGCCCCTCTAAAATTTTTTGGCCTTAGATTCTTATTCAGGAATTTCTTCAGTCAAATCGAATTTTCTTTTAGAAAGATATCTGGATATGGCTTAAATTAGAAAATTTTGACCGAATAGAATCCCGGAAAAATTCATTTTTCAATCTACCTGAAATTGAGTTTCTAGATCAACTTTGTCCAGCGGAGCTCGCTTTTCGCATCGATTGCTGAAAATGTTTACTACTTTAGACGAGATCCTTCTTATTACTATTATCATTACTATCATTATTTTCAGAGAGACGTAGCCTTCTGCTGCCTCTTCCTCCTGGCCATGACCCTGGTTCCATGGGCCGCCGGCGCCGACAGGCACCGCAAGCGCGAGCTGCGTTCCCGCGGGAGCGTCGTCTACGCCGACCCGGTAAGTCCCCCAAGAAGCCATTACCGGCGAAGGAAGCGCCCTCCCCTGATTGACCGAGCCCGAACCGGAACATTAACCCAGCTTCCGGCCTTCCGGGCACACCCACCGTGTATCATAATTTCGGATTCCGAAATCGGGACGACAGCCGTATCTAATACCGGAAACGAGTCCGGAAATATCGATTAAGGGTGTTCGAAAAGATTTCCGCATGAAAATGCGCGTCACATTACGCGGCCTAGGCGAGCACCGCCGCCTCAATCACTCAATATTTCCGCATATTGGAGTCGTCCGATCGCCGCGAAATCCTATTAGAAAACTTCCGTCCGTCCACTGGTTTTATCGAGTCTAGACGATTCTATCGGCCGGAGTTTATGTAGAACGCGAAAAGCATCCAATCAGCGCGAAAAACGCTTAACCGGCAGCTTTTAAGCGTCGTCCCTGCGGCCGGAATCGTCGGATAGTTGCGGCCCAACACGAAAAAATAATTAATATTTCATGTCGTTCGGCAATAACGATTCGCGAACAAGCACTCGAGCGACAGAACAATAAAACGAGGCCGGTTAACACAGAAGGCAATCCATCATCGGGAAACGACACAATTTGCAAGAATTTCCCTCCCGACTCCGGGACAACGGCACGTGCTGAAAATTTCAGCCGAACGAGAAAATTAATTGCGAAACGTCGGCGAAAGGACGACGAAGGGAGCGCTTCCTTAATCTAGAGAACAGGCGCTAAATACAGTATGATATGAGTTTTTCGAGGAAGTCGGAACTTTATTTCATTTATGGCCGGATTTTCCGGGCCTTATCTGAGGAGACTTATCCTAATGAGGGTGTCGATGTGACAGGACGACTCGCAGCCTGATTAATGTTTATTCGTTCAATTGTAAAGCCGGATCGGGCTGCTTAAGGCTCGAATAACCCCCGCCCTGCAATTAGACAGACGAAAATGGCGAAAACGGGGAAAGTTATGTAAAGTGCGGGTTGCGTTCACGGGTTCAGTTTAAACTTTGAAGTTTTTTTTAGTCTAGAGTCGACCACTTGCCATAGAATTCAAGTTTCATCTCCCAGTAAATAAAATGAGCCAATAAAATACTTATTACTACTTACCTAATAAAAATTATAATTTCAAAATGTTTAAATTAGGGCCAGAACAATAAAATAAAAATTGAAAATTTTGGGAAAAAATAAAAACCGAATAAAACAGGGAAAATGTCTTAAATAATTATTAATATATATTATGAATGAATCCAGTCAGAAGGAATCTAATGGAACCTGTTGGAATCTGATGGAATTTGAAAGGATCTGAAATAATATGCAAGAATTTGAATGAATCTGAAAAGTAATGAAAGAATCGGATAGAATCTGGGAAATCTCATTTAATGGAAATTGATGTAATTTGAAAGAATTTGAAAGAATCCGAAATAATTCGAAAGGTTCTGAAAGAATCTGAGTGAATCTGAGAACATCAACCCTAGGAGAATCTGAGAGAATCGAAAGAATCTAAGGGAATCTGATACAATCTGAAGAAATCTGGAGGAATCTGAAGGAGTTTGAAATAACATGATGGAATCTGATGAAATCTGAAAGACTCTGAAAGAAATGAAATAATCTGAAATCTATTAGAATCGCTGAAAATTTGATAAAATTTGAGTGAATCGAAACAATCTAAGTAATTGTGAAAAAATCCGAGAAACTGAAAGATTTTAAATACAAATTATGGCAATCTCAAGGAAGCTAAGAAAATCTGAAAGAATCTGAAATAATCTAAAACAATCTTAAAAAATCTGAAGGAACTTCAAGGAATATGAAGGAATATTCTGAAGGAATCTAAAGGAGTCTTAAGGAATTTGAAGAAATTTGAAGGAATCTGAAAGAATCTAATTATTTATTGACAAACAGAACATAATATGAAATAATCGAAAATAATCTGACTGAATCTATAAACAATTTGTAGGAATTTAATGAAAATTGATGTAATTTGAAAGAATCTTAAAGAATCCGAAAATTTTTGAAAGGATCCGAAAGAATTCGAAAGAAGCTGAAAGAAATCTGAAAGAATCTGACTGAGTCTGAGAGAATTTTAAAGAATCTCAAACAATTTGATGGAATTTATTGCAAATTTTCAAGTAATTTGAAAGAACCTAAAAAAAATCCGAATGAATCTGAATGAATCCGAAAGAATCTAAAAGAATATGATTATAACAAAATAAATTTATTGACTAGCAGAACATAATCTGAAATAATCGAAGACAATCTGAATGAATCTATAAACAATTTGTAGGAATTTAATGAAAATTGATGTAATTTGAAAGAATCTTAAAAAATCCGAAAATTGTTGAAAGGATCCCAAAGAATTCGAAAGAAGCTGAAAGAAATCTGAAAGAATCTGACTGAATCTGAGAGAATCTTAAAGAATCTCAAACAATTTTATGGAATTTATTGCAAATTTTCAAGTAATTTGAAAGAACCTAAAAGAATCCGAAAGAATCTGAAAGAATCTGAAAGAATCTGAAAGAATCTGAAAGAATCTGAAAGAATCTGAAAGAATCTGAAAGAATCTGAAAGAATCTGAAAGAATCTGAAAGAATCTGAAAGAATCTGAGTGAATCTGAGAACATCTGATAGAACCCAGGAGTGTCTTAGAGAATCGAAAGAATCTAAGGGAATCTGATACAATCTGAAGAAATCTGGAGGAATCTGATGGAATTTGAAGTAATATGATGGAATCTGATGAAATCTGAAAGACTCTGAAAGAATTTGAAATAATCTGAAATAATGTGAAAGAATCTAATAGAATCGGTGAGAATTTGATAGAATTTGAGAGAATGGAAACAATCTAAGTGAATGTGAAAAAATCCAAGAAACTGAAATAATCTTAAATCCAAATTATGGTAATCTCAAGGAAACTAAGAAAACCTGAAATAATCTGAAATAATCTAAAACAATATTAAAAAATCTGAAGAAATTTCAAGGAATATGAAGGAATATTTTGAAAGAATTTCAAAGAATCTGAAGGAATCGAAGGAATCTGAAGGAGTCTTAAGGAATTTGAAGAAATCTGAAGGAATCTGAAAGAATCTGATTATAACAAAATAAATTTATTGACTAACAGAACATAATCTGAAATAATCGAAAATAATCAGAATGAATCTATAAACCATTTGTGGGAATTTAATGAAAATTGATGTAATTTGAAAGAATCTGAAAGAATCTGAAAGAATCTGAAAGAATCTGAAAGAATCTGAAAGAATCTGAAAGAATCTGAAAGAATCTGAGTGAATCTGAGAACATCTGATAGAACCCAGGAGTGTCTTAGAGAATCGAAAGAATCTAAGGGAATCTGATACAATCTGAAGAAATCTGGAGGAATCTGATGGAATTTGAAATAATATGATGGAATCTGATGAAATCTGAAAGACTCTGAAAGAATTTGAAATAATCTGAAATAATGTGAAAGAATCTATTAGAATCGGTGAGAATTTGACAGAATTTGAGAGAATGGAAACAATCTAAGTGAATGTGAAAAAATCCGAGAAACTGAAATAATCTTAAATCCAAATTATGGTATTCTCAAGGAAAATAAGAAAACCTGAAAGAATCTGAACTAATCTAAAACAATATTAAAAAATCTGAAGAAATTTCATGAAATATGAAGGAATATTTTGAAAGAATTTCAAAGAATCTGAAGGAATCTGAAAGAATCTGATTATAACAAAATAAATTTATTGACTAAGAGAACATAATCTGAAATAATTGAAAATAATCTAACTGAATCTATAAACAATTTGTAGGAATTTAATGAAAATTGATGCAATTTGAAAGAATCTTAAAGAATCCGAAAATTTTTGAAAGGATCCGAAAGAATTCTAAAGAAGCTGAAAGAAATCTGAAAGAATCTGACTGATTCTGAGAGAATCTTAAAGAATCTCAAACAATTTGATGGAATTCGTTGCAAATTTTCAAGTAATTTGAAAGAACCTAAAAGAATCCGAGAGGATCCGAATGAATCTGAAAGAATCTGAAAAGATCTGAAAGAATCTGAAAGAATCTGAAAGAATCTGGAAGAATCTGAAAGGATCTAAATAAATAATATATAAATAAATAAATCTGAAATAATCTGAATGAATCTGAGACCATCTGATAGAGCCTAGGAGAATCTGAGGGAATCGAAATACTCTAAGGGAATCGGATACAATCTGAAGAAATCTGGAGGAATCTGAAGGAATTTTGAAGTAATATGATGGAATCTGATGAAATCTGAAATACTGAAAGAATTTGAAATAATCTAAAATACATAATATGAAATAATCTATTAGAATCGGTGAGAATTTGATAGAATTTGAGAAAATCGAAACAATCTAAGTGAATGTGAAATTATGGGATTCTCAAGGAAACTAAGAAAACCTGGGACAATCTGAAATAATGTAAAACAATCTTAAAAAATCTGAAGGAATTTCAAGGAATATGAAGGAATATTCTGAAGGAATCTGAGGGAATCTGAAAGATTTTCAAAGAACCTGAAGGAATCCGAAGGAATCTGAAGAAGTCTTAAGGAATTTGAAGAAATCTGAAGGAATCTGAAGGAATCTGAAAGAATCTGATTATAACAAAATAAATTTATTGACTAAGAGAACATAATCTAAAATAATCGAAAATAATCTGAATGAATCTATAAATAATTTGTAGGAATTTAACGAAAATTGATGTAATTTGAAAAAATCTTAAAGAATCCGAAAATTGTTGAAAGGATCCGAAAGAATTCGAAAGAAGCTGAAAGAAATCTGAAAGAATCTGACTGAATCTGGGAGAATCTTAAAGAATCTCAAACAATTTGATAGAATTCATTGCAAATTTTCAAGTAATTTGAAAGAACCTAAACGAATCCGAGAGAATCCGAATGAATCTGAAAGAATCTGAAAGGATCTGAAAGGATCTGAAAGAATCCGAAACAAACTGAAAGCATTTGAAAGAATTTGAAACGATCTGAAAGGATCTGAA